CTGGCTGCTGCAGCGTTTCAAAACACCTTGTGTGGGACAGGGCAGAATTGAGTTAGACAGAGAGCTCCAGCAGCACAGGGAGAATAATTGTTCCTTAATTATGTATTTTGGGCCGGACCTAGCATGAATTTATCATAGAATCAAAGAATGGGTAGAGTTGGAAGGGACCTTAAAAGCCATTTAGTTCCAACCCCTCTGCCATGGGCAGGGACGCCTCCCACTAGACCAGGTTGCTCAAAGCCCCATCCAGCCTGGCCTTGAACACCTCCAGGGATGGGGCATCCACAGCTTTTCTGGGCAACCTGCGCCAGTGTCTCACCACCCTCAGAGTGAAAAATTTCTTCCTAGTACCTAATCTAAATCTCCCCTCTTCCAGTTTGCTTCTCTTCTCCAGGCTGAACAACTCCAACTCCCTCAGCCTGTCTTCACAGGAGAGGTGCTCCAGCCCTCTGATCATCTTTGTGGCCCTCCTTCGGACCCGCTCCAACAGGTCCATGTCTTTCCTATGTTGGGGGTTCCAGATTTACTGAATAAAAGAAACGCAAGACAGACACCTTGGAAAGTCAGCATCTGCATTGTGGGGCGATGAGCCTGAGGAGCAGGTCGGTGAGACCACCGCAGGCCGCCCACGCACCCGCTGCCCCCAGCACCCCGCTCTGCCCGGCCAGCTGCAGGCCGAGACCTCCCTGGGGGATGGGGCCGAGCGGTGCAGGGAGGATGTGGGTCGGGGATCTTCACACATTTTTCCAGATCTGCGTTGATTTGTAACTAGTTTGGGTGGAAAAGCTGCTGATATTAACAGCCAGTGCAGCCACCCCATGGCTGCGCTTTGGCCTCTTCTTCTCAGGGGAGGAATGAGTGAACCTGACCTGCCCGGGATTTTGAGGGATGAGGTGAGAGGTCTTTTTCGACAAGTCGAAAGCCGCTGCCAAATGGGAATTTTCTACTTCCATTTTGGGGGACATTTTTGGCCAGGGCTGTGTGCCCATCGACGGCCTCGCCAGCGGTGGCCTAGGCCCGCTCACCACCGCATTGCCTCAGTCCGAC